GACACGACCCGCGAAGCAGAGAACCCGACCGCGGCAGTGGGCGAGCCGCGGAGCATTATTTCATGGGAGGCCAGTCCAGCCATTCCGCTTAGACAAGGCGAAGAACCGAGGCGCATGAGCCTCGAGGCGGCGGCACAGGCATGTAGAGCGTGGCACGGGGAGCACGCGACAGCGCAGCGAGCCACGGAACGGCACGCCAGCAGCGCGAGCGCGACGCGAGTGCGGCACGCGCAAGCGCAACACGCGTGCGACGGAGATTTCCCCAAACTTCTCATCCTCTACCAAGCTCGGGCTTTTCCTCCCCAAGTTCTCCTTGCCGCCGGCCCTGTTGGCCCGTCCAGAAATTCACCCGCCGGCCATCCCTTAGGCCGACGTCCACCAACCCCCACCTCCCCCTCTCTTCCTCCTTGGAATAAAGAAATTTCTTAATTATGAGAGGCTCACAATTAATGACAATTCAAATTCAAAATTTGAATTTGAATTAGCATTAATTACTCCTTAAATTCGTCCCTCCAATTAAGCCAATAACCATTAATTTAAATCTGAAATTTAATTTCAGATTTAAATCAATTAATCATTTAATCCTCACAATTAATGACAATTCAAATTCAAAATTTGAATTTGAGTTAGCATTAATTACTCCTTAAATTCGTCCCTCCAATTAAGCCAATAACCATTAATTTAAATCTGAAATTTAATTTCAGATTTAAATCAATTAATCATTCAATCCTCCCAATTAATGACAATTCAAATTCAAAAATTGAATTTGAATTAGCTTTAATTACTCCTTAATTTCAGATTTCCATTCTCTCTCCCCAAATTGATTTGAGCTTTAATTAATCTTGCCACCTAGGCAAGTATATGGCATTTACGTTTCACATCATAAATTGTCTTATTATGTTGTATAAAATAATTATTTATAAATGTTATCGAAGAATATTTTTTATTTCTTTCATTAAATAATCTTTGATTTAATTATATTTTGTGTCAATTTTTATGCATAAATCCATGAGAAAACTCCCTCTCATTTCATTTAACTAAGGAGATGTCCGAAGACTTATTTTTCATTAACTCTATGTCCACATATGAAGAGGAAGAAATCTGTAAGACTCGCAAAATTATTATGCCAAAAATGCTTTTGTCTTTTATGCGCAGGCGATGAATTCAAAGCCTCATCCGGCTTCCCATAATAATAAAAAAGCAAATAGAAAACAAACAAATAGATCTTTGCGTCAAAACATTCATTTTTCTAATAATTTATTCCTAATCCACCACGCATTTCATCAACTTTGTTTGGCCTCTTAACACATGGCATACTCATTGGGAACCTTCTCATTCCTATAAATAAAAAACGTTTTACAAACCCCTTAATCACAACTAGCAAACCATGTTGCAACTTCCTAATCTCCTTCTCTCCTTCCTCCTCATCTTCTTCTCCTTCCTTCTCCTCCATCTACTCAAAACCCCAAAGCCAAATCTCCCACCAGGCCCATGGAAACTCCCCATCATAGGCAGCCTCCACCACATCTCTATCAATGCCCTCACACACCACTCTTTTCTCTCCCTGGCACGCAAATACGGCCCTTTATTTCATCTAAAACTAGGCCAGATCTATTTCATTGTCGCCTCATCCTCCTCCACTGCCTCTGAAATACTCAAAACACACGACCAAATCTTCGCATCTCGACCCACCATGTTAGCCGTCAAAACCATTGCCTACAACTCCATTGGTATTGGCTTCTCCCCTTACGGTCCTTACTGGAGACAAATGCGTAAGATATGCACTCAAGAGCTTCTAAGCTCAAAAAAGGTGAAGTTTTTTGGATTTATAAGAGAAGAGGAGTCTTTGAAGATCGTGGAAAGGATTGGTAGGGGGAGTGGATCGATGACATTAAAGGTGAATATGACAGAAATTTTTATGGACGTATTGAATGTGAATATAATGAGGGCAGCATTTGGGAAGGATTGGGAGAGTAACAGGGAGAGATTTTTGAAGGCGTTAAAGGAGACGATGATGTTGCTGCCTTTGTTGAGGCTGGCGGATTTGTTTCCTTCATTGGGGTTTGTGATAAGTGTGTTAGATGGGTCGAGGGCGAGGATGAAGAATACAAGGAGAGAGATCGATTTGATTTTGGACGAGATAATTGCAGAGCATGTCATCAAGAGGGAAGCAAAGGAAGGGGATGGAGAGGAGGATTTTGTTGATATTTTATTGAGGGTGAAGGAGAATGGCGAGTTTCAAATTCCGCTAGCCGTAGAGAACATCAAAGCTGTCATCTTGGTAAGAGCACAACATTAATTTTGATTATCAAGCAGTCAATTGAAAAAAAAAGAGTTTAATAGTTAAAAAACAATACAATTATTTTTTATTTTCATTAATCTATATCATCTTAAATATATATTTTTTGTAAGGACATACTTGTGGGGGCAACTGAAACTACATCTGGGACGTTAGATTGGGTGATGACAGAGCTAACCCGACATCCAGAAATCATGCATAGAGCTCAACTTGAAATTCGAGAAGCCCTTAGAGGAAAAACAGTAATAGAAGAAAGTGACATAAATAAGCTCGACTATCTAAAAATGATCATCAAGGAAACTTTGCGATTGCACCCTCCTCTACCCTTGCTAATCCCTAGAATTTGCAACAAAGAAACTAAGCTTTTAGGGTTTACCATACCTTCCAAAAGCTGGGTGGTGGTGAATGCATGGGCCATTGGAAGAGATCCAGACTATTGGGAGAATCCTGAGAGCTTCAATCCAGACAGATTCAAACAATGTACAGTGGATTTCATAGGGGCAAATTATGATTACATTCCATTTGGTGCTGGGCGTAGAATATGTCCTGGGATGGGATTTGCTTTGGCTGGGATAGAGCATTTTCTTACTCTTCTGCTCTATCACTTTGACTGGGAGCTTCCAGATCCAAAGGTATTTGATGTTGATGAGGGATTGACTGGCTCAGCAAGGAGGAAAAATGATTTATATTTGCTTGCCAGGCCTTATTCTCCAATATCAGACGTGTGATTTTCATTTTTATCATTGTCATTAGCTTTGTCTCTACTGTTTCTGTAAGCTTTATGAACGGATCTATCTTTGAAAGGTCTTCTGATGCGGACATCTAACCGTCAATCAACGGCTGTGATCGTCCTACGTTATCTTAAATTTTTATTTGTAATTTTTATTTTAATTTTACATTTTCCGTTTTTACCCTTACTTAAGGGTCTAATCTTATATAAGCCCTAGGGGCATGATCGTCTTATTTTAGTTTTTTTTATTTATGAGGCCTATATATAGAGGTCCTTGCTACTGTATTGGTATGATGAATTATTAATAAAAAAAGGTTTGCGCTTGTGTTCTTTGGAGAGAACTTGGGAGAGATTTCTATGGGAGGGAATCAGAGCTTCCACCAACAGCAGGATGGGTCCGGGCTCGTAGCTTAAAGTCCATTGGAGAAGGGAAACGTATTACCCGTCAGCTGCAGGATGAGTCTGTGCTCACGGTTATATCTTTCTTTCCCTAAATCATTTTCTCCTCCTCCCTTGACCGCCGGCCAGAATTCCCCACTAGACATCGCCCAATTCTCCCACAAACCCCTCCACCTCCATAGCCGGCTGACCACCTCACCCCTAACCTCTTCGCTCCTTCATTCTCCTTCGTTTTCCTAAATTAGGTTGAAGATAATTTGAAAAGAAGTTTTAATTCAAATCTAGTTAGTTTGAAATTCAAAGCCTTTCTTAAATTACTAAATCTATTTTTGGAAAATTCTTCAAATCAAATTCCAATTAATTTGAAATTGTATTTGATTAAATCCTTTCTCCCTTAATTGAAGACTTGATTAATTTTTATTTCATTTCCTCCCATAACTAGCCCCTTCTCTCTCTATCCGCTGCCCCTTCCCCTTTTGCTCTTGATTGGAGTCAATCTTGCTTGATAGCCTTCTTTCCTATTGTGGATGTATTTTAATATGAAAAGCATTTGAAGTTAAATTCAAATATATTTCAATTTCAAATTATTTCCCTAATTCAGTTATCTTATTTTAGGAAAGTATTCAAATCAAACCTATTTCAAATTCAAATAGGATTTGATTTAAATATTCCTTCCTAATTTAAGGTTTTCTAGTTGACAAGCATTTAAATCTCTCTCCATAAACTCCTATGCCCCTCTTAATGTTGCCAACCCCTCACCCCCTTAGTTATTTAATTCCTTAATTAGATATCCAATTATGAGATTTAATTAACCACCCCCTTTTTCTCATTTAATTTTAATTTCAATTTTCAAATCCCCCACCCCATCCGTGCTACATCATATTGTTTAGGTATAACATCAATATCATCTTTTTTCATGAAGAAGTATGCTTTTTGAAGTTAAAAATAGTTTATTATGAATATTTTCTAAAATGCAGAACTAGTTGTTGACCTAGTATATAGAATAGAGCAACCATTTCAATAGAATAATAGTATCAGCTAGGCTAAATGCCAATGGCTAACGAAGGAATCTATTTAGGGCATCTCCAACCGAAAACCCCATTTTTCACTCAAAAATGTCATAAAACTTCAAAATGCGGTAGTTAATCTCCAATGAAACTCCATTTTTCTTTTTTCAAGCGCTTCTTTGTGAAGGTAACCATCTCTCTCATGTTTCGCGCGCTTCTTGCGAAGCTAAGCAGAGTGCGAAGGTAATCGCTTTTTTTGGCATAGGAGAATAGTCCGACGCCAATATTGACGTCATATTATTCACCTACCGATTTTTTGCATGAGATTTGAAGTTCGAATGTAGCGATTCGCAGACCACATACAATGGTATGCAATTCACTTGGAGATGATCTCAGCAAACTAAAAAGAATAGTTTCAAGTTTTGAATTTAATTTTGTCAGTCTTTTTTTTTCTTTTGAAAGATGTGATAATATCTTGGCATTTATTTTTGGAAAATATTATTTTGTTGTTGTAACGGTTATGCAATCGTCACGATAGATTTCAGTATAATTTGATTATGAAGAAGTATAATCATATTGTTGCCATGATAGAAAACTTATAATTTTGACACGTTGATACTGCCACGACTCGACCTAACTGTAGCTCGAACTATTAGGAGACCAGAGAAGAACTCTCAATCATGATCAAATCTAAAAGATTAGAGATGCTACCAATACATTTATAGTTCTCCTCAAACATCTATAATCTATTTAGAGAAAAAAAAAACATTCAAATTATAAATAAACCAACATACAACCACTAATAATCCATTAGAGGAAAGCATACAGCTGATTAACACTTATTAGGATTTTACACTCACTAAACATTATTCAGCCTAAAGCATAAATTCATAGGATTATAAAATATTTGTTGAAGATAAAAAATAATAACATAAAAATGTGAACAATGAGGAAACTAGAAAAATATCAAAAGTTATACATAAAAGTTGTCAGAACATCAATATATCTTATTTTTTCCATGAAATTCATATGAAATATGAGAAATCAATCGAAAAATGAAACAATTGAAATCAAAGATAGGAATAATGGTCTACCTCATATAGAGAAAAATTTTCAACTGTTCTGGTGTAAAACAGCAAGGTGATGGATAAGATGAATGACTTACAGCGATAGGAAGCTCTGCAGAGAAAGCAATTGAGAAATTAGAGTGCCTATTGTAGCGAAAGATGGTGGGATCACCTGAATATCTTCAATGTCCTTCATTTACTGTATTGATTTACTGTATTGTGGAAGAAAACTATGTAACAAGATATAATAAGACGGGTGGACTCATCATGTGAAGATAACTAACGAATGGATGTAATTCTGTGCATCAAATCAACCACAAAGCAATCACCATATGGTACATTTGGTGTTCTAGTACGAGATATAACTACAATGTTTTTCCCATCAGCTTTAAGGTAGCCCTGCTAGCTCCTCTGTTGCCTTAAACAGCTTTTATAATCTTTGTTACAGCTTTTGTGCAACTAACTTAGCTCGTTAAACACGGAATATCCTTACTATTCCACGACCAAGGTCCCTTTTGGTAATCACGAGTTCCTTCAACTTGTGTTAAATCTCTTGTAAATTTTGAATTAGGCTCAAAAAGTAATGAATTCAAAACATGGGGTTCGTCAAAGATGGAAGGGAGATCGACATCAGCAATGCTCTCATTACGATGAAAAATAAGTGACTATAAGAAAATATATGCGCACCGGAATCCTCAAATTTGGAGGTACCATGGCCGAAATGCTTTGCCTCCAGAGAAAACCACGTCGGCGGCAGCGTCTTCTTTCCCTCGTCTAAAACCGCACAAAGCGGCACCCGAAAACAACCGAAGAAACTGCTCCTCACTGCCGTCGCATCTCGCCTCGTAAAAAGTCTTCACCTCGACCTCCTCCTCCCCAGTACCCTCCTCCACGCCGAACAAAAACTCCTCATTCCAAACAAAGCACCGATTCCCCCTCACCGTCTTCGTCCTCGAATTGTGATTCCCCGCCCTCAGTTTCGCACGCGCACGTAATGCAAGTGAGAGATTCGAAGAAATGCCGCATAAGAGGCAGCGTGAGAACTTCTAGAATTTGGAGATTGAGAAGTTTCGGAGAGTGGTGTATGGTGATGAAGAGAAACAAAACGTGGAGGGCTCGGGAAGTGACAGGGCGAAAGAAGCGGAAGACATGGATGCTGCGTGGTCTTTCAATCCATTATGAAGCGGATACGTATGGCTTTTTGCTCCCGGTCGGCTCATATGCAGATTCGTGTAGCGCTAGTTTATTAAATCAAATTCAAATCTAATTTAGAGGGATTTTCATACCTATCACTTTTATATCATTTTTCTATCATGCTATTTTTTTATATCTAACATCTAAAATTTTAATATTATAATTATCATATACCACTTTATAAATTTTAATATTTCATTTATTACACCCATATTTAATCTTTTAAGTGATAGACAAAATATTAAAAAAATTTATACTAAATATGTAAATAACATGATATAAACATACATACATACATATATATATAGTATATATATATATATATTATTATATATATATATATATATATATATAATATATATAATTATATATTAAAACCCCTATAATTTATCAAAGTCCGACAAATGAATCTATCACTTAGTGGTTGGAGAATTTTTTTTTCTTAATTAGATTATAAAAGTTACAAATAATACCATAATAATTTTTTTGGTTCAAATTTTTAATTTGTATGAATTTAAAATAATTGAATTTGCATTTAGATGAGTATATAATGGGAGTCACCTATCTCAAAATATAAATGAACCATTTTAGATCAAAGAAGCACATGCCCCGAAGAAATTATTATGTGAGGTCCAAACACAGAGTTACATCTAGACATGGGAGTATTCATAGTGTGTGCACACTATATATAAAAATAAAAGTACACTGTGTACACTCACAGCCCATACATAACTCTGCGACCACCAACTACTTTTTACAAATCCATGCTTAGATTGCATCATGTGAAACAGGCTCAAGCCAAAACTGACAACCAAAGGGAAAACATACTACAAATGTACTTGTTATCATTAAACAGTAACGAATGCCAGATTTGTAGAAGCATAAAACATACAATTCCCTTGTGCACTAAATAGCTGGGAATTTCAATAAAATGTCAGACCTTCGGTTACAAGGAAGATTTGCTTGAATGAAAGTCAAGTAGCAAATGCATTAACGAATCTGCAGAACAATTATTTTAACTGTTGCTCGATTCATCTCCTATATCACCAGCTTTCTTTTTATCTGAAGCTTGAGAGTTGGTGCTCTCTTCACAAACAGAAGTGTTCGCCACCTTAACTTCGGCATGAATATTTTCTGTCTCTGAAGTTCTTCCGAGTTTGGATTCGCTCTGATGCTCACTGCCCTCTGCCAACTTAACATCTGAGCTTTCCATGGCAGAGTTTTGAGTGGATACAGTAAGAATTCGATGCACATCTTCATATATAATTTCAAGCTGTTGGAGATTTTTGCTTAAATTTGAAGCAGCAGAACTGTTGCCAAAATACGCATGGAGAGCATCCGGGGTGTTGGATTCTATTACCCCGCACATCTGAAGCAACAAAATAATAAAGGATGATTAGCTAACATACATGGGATGTAGTAGTAGTAAGGACCAATTTTCAAACTTGACTGCTTACTCCATTGTAAAGTCTAATCATCTCGAGGCGACCGCTATTATCATCACAAGCAGATTCCTGCAGATCTGTAACCGAAAGCTAAATTAGAAACAAGTTGCAAAATAATAGGGCAAATGTGACAAGCAGCAAATCAACGTTATGTGTGGTCATCAAATTAAGCAAACCTTGGGGGCTACAAGTGGAGAGATTATTCTGTGCGGACATTAGACACAGCTTACCGTCCAGAGAGGAATCAGGTGCAGCCACGTCAAGCAGGCTTATTGGATTCCCTTAGTATTCAACTTAAGCAGAATTTTCTTGGTAAGTATTTAATCATTGGGCTCTGGACGGCGTTCGGCGTTCGCACATAATAATTCATCCTACAAGTGAGCGCACTGCAACCAAGAAAATTCTATATTTGTTGACCTTCCTAAATAATTAAATACTTACAAGAGCTTATAGTTCATGTAGATGTGTTCCAATAAGCCTTAGGAACCCTAAGTTTGAGTTTGGAAAGGTATGAATTGGTGTAGAAAGGGCTAGGGTTGGCTAAACATGGAAGACTCCATTTAGCTGAGAGAATGTAGGAGAATGTGAGAAAAACATGTTGTGAAAACTCGTACAACATGTGAGTCAATAGGAAAGCTTAGATAGTCAGCCCTCTTTTGGGAGCCAAATATAATGCTGGATGAGAATGAATCTTAGGCCGAGCAATAATCACAACATCTCATCATCCCATCACTTTATTGCTCTAATGTGACATTGACAATATTAGTGTGCATGCGGACTTAAGACCATCCAAAAGATGATACTTGATTGCATACTTTTTTAGCAGCATAACCATATATATTTCCATAGGAGGCATCTGTTATATCTAATCACTATTCACAAACCATGCTAAAGGAATGAAATGACCATACTTGCTCAATCTGTCAACCACCACTAAAATCACTGTAACCCCCTCATATCAGGGTAGCCTATATATGAAGTCCATGGTGATCTCCTCCCACACTCGGTCTAGAAGAGCTAGGAGTTGAAATAGTCCCCCTGGTGCTATAGTCATGTACTTATTTCTCTGGCATACCTCACACCTAACTACAATCTCCTCCTCACCCTTGTGCATTCTCTTCCAATACAATTCAGCTGCCAATCTCCTGTATGTCTTCTGCACATTGGAATAGCCTCCAACAGCGCTCCCATGGAATTCTTGTAGTATGTAGGGAATATGAATCGAGGTTCGTGGCATCACAAACCTCCCTTAGTACAGAAGTCTCTCTCCCATTAGGAATAGCTTGGGTGGCTGCTCTTATCTTTCAGTAGATCCATTCTAATCTTCATCAGCTCAGCATCCTACACACTTTCTTCTTTGATAACTCCCCAATCTACCATCAATGGTATCGAAATGGCCATTTCCTGGAGCTCCCCCATACACCTAGATAAAGCATCAGACAGCTTGTTCTCCAATCAAGGCCTAATTGGATCTCAAAGTCATAGCCCAGCAGCTTGGACAACCACCTTTGATGCTCCTCAGTCATCATCCTCTCTAACAAGTATTTCAAGCTCCTTTGATTTGTCCTGACAATGAAATGCCGGCCTAACAAGTAAGGTCATCACTTATGGATTTACTAAAACGATGGCCATTAACTCTTTCTCATAAACTGACTTCGGTCTTGCTCAAGCTGTCAATACAAGGTTGAAGTAAGCTATGGGTATGTGATTTTGCATAAGTACTACCCCCAATTCCTACCCTGAGGTATCAGTCTCTACTACAAAAACCAACCTAAAATCTGGTAGGGACAACACTGGTACTATGGTCATGGCCTGCTTCAATCTCTCAAAGGCTTGGATAGCTCTCTCCTTACAAAAAACTATCATTCTTCAACTACTCTGTCAATGGGCAGGCTATGGAACTATATCCTCTCACAAATCTTCTGTAATATCTTGTCAACCCATCTCAACTCTCTCAAGTTCCTAGGTAGAAGAAAGTTCAGCATTGCCTTGATCTTGGACTGATCAACGGCTACTCCCTGCTGAGATACCACCCCAAGTATTCCACACTGGCCTGTGCAAACCAAAACTTCTTCAAGTTGGCCATTAGATGTTGTTCCTGTAAAACCCTTAAGACTACTCTCAAATGCTCCTCTGTTCTGCTTTACACCAAGATGTCATCAAAGAAAACCAATACAAACTTCCAGAGGTATGGTCTGAATATCCTGTTCATAAGGGACTAAAAAGTGACATGGGAGTTGGTGAGGCCAAACAACATCACTAAGAGCTCATAATATCCCTCGTGTGTTCTGAATGCAGTCTTCGGGACATCCTCCTCTATCATCTTGATCTTATGATAGCCCGACTTCATATACATCTTGGTGAATACTATTGCACCACATAGCTTATCCAATAGCTCATCGATCACCGGAATGGAGAACTTATCCGGCACAATCTCTTTATTTAAGGCCCAGTAGTTCACACAAAATCTCCAGCTCCCATCTTCTTCTTGACCAATAAGACTGGGCTATAAAAAGAGCTCATAGCCTCACACTTGCCAGATGATCTCCACCTACAACATCTCTCGGATTAGCTTCTCAATCTCATCCTTCTAAATTTGGGGGTAGCGGTAAGGTCAAACACTAATCGGTGACACCCCCTCCCTCAGGGTGATGGCGTGCACCTACTACCTTGGTGGTGGTAAGCCTTAAAGTGGTTGAAAAACTCACTAAACTGTTGTATAAGTGACTGTACTGAAAGAGGAATGCCACCCCCTTCCTCTAGTCCGATCCCTTCTAAGCTCTGCAGTTCCACCAGAATCCTCTCCCCACCTCCTGTGTGGCCTTGGCCATGGTTTTGAGAGACACCATGGCCTTGGACAACTCTACATCTCCACGGATCATTACCCTTTGTCCCCCCGCCATCAGCTCCATCGTTAATGCTCCTCAATTGACCTTGGTATCTCTCAAGGTCTGCAGCCACTTCATCCCCCGAATGACATCAGTACTCTCTATCTTCAATGGGAGAAAATTCTCTCTCACCTGAACCCACTGCATAGTCAGTACAACTCCCCAACACGCTTCTCTACCCATCTCCACCTTCCAAGTGCCCATCATCATCCTATATCCCCTGGTGTACACCAATTTCACCCTCAACTGATCACTGACCTGGTTGGAGATAAAACTTTGGGTAGCCCCACTGTTGATCAGCACCACCACCTCTTTGTCTGCTATTTCTCCTTGACTTTCATGGTGTGATTCAGGGTGAACCCCATCACTGAGTTTAAGGAGACTTCAACCATGTCAAGATGCAGTTTTTTCTTTCTCCTCTACCACTGTTTCGCTCTCACCTCTCTCCTCAGCCTTCTCATCATCAAAGATGGTGAGAACCTCAAGAGTTCGGTCTTTACACCTATGCCTTGGCGTGTACCTCTCATCACATACGAAGCACAATCCCTTTGCTCGTTTCTCTTGTAGTTCCTTCTCAATGACCTTCTTGAAGTTTCCCCCGAATCCCCCTCCTCCTACAGGTCTCTCCTTTTGGGCCTCACAAAGGCTTCCCAGTGCTGGTCCTTTGGGAGCCAAGAAAGTGATGGTCATCCTACACGAGCCTCCTGAACTGTTGCCTTTAGCTCCTCTCTCCAGGTACTTTTGGTCCTCCACTAGCTACGCTAGCTCCATAGCCTATCCTTAGTCACACGACCTCATCACTCTAATAGTAGCCTGGATCTTAGGCTTGAGCCCCTTCATGAAGTTCCCCTTCAGCACAATCTCAAACAGCCGGTCAAGTCGGCTGGCTAGGTACTCAAACCTGTCATGACACTCCACAGAAACCTCCTGCATTAGAGGGAATAACTTCTCATAGAAGTTCTCTCCCCTGCTGGTTTGGAAATGTTCCAGTAAGAAGTTTTTGAATTTCCTCCAACTCCAAATGGGTCGCCTCATCTCTCCACAGGTACCATACCAATGCCTTCCCCTCTAAACAAAGGCCAGCTGTCGTCAACCTCTCCTCCTCCGTCAACCTGTTGATGATGAAATACCTATCTACCTTATAGATCCACAAATGAGCCTCATCACATTTAAATATAAGCATTTTTAGCTTCCTTACCCTCGCATCACCTCTGTTTCCCCTTAATCCCCCATGGCCTTCCATTCCCCGAATAGGAGGTGCTCCCCAAGTTTCCCGATCTTGTCTACTGCGCTCATATCCGAACAGTTCTTCAAAATCCCCCTTCATTCTCTCAAATCAGAACCCCTGCGCTCATACTCCACCCCTCTTCTTGCAAAAATAACACTCATTCGCTCATACCTAATATTCATCTCCTCCCTGGAAATAGGCTCTAAAGGAAACATCTCATATTCTCCATCCAAAATCTCCACCTCTTGATTTTCTCTTCCCCTAACCGGATTAGGGGTTCCTCCACTTTCTTGGCCGCCGGTGGCCTCTTTCGTCTATGATGTCGTCGTTTTGAGTTTGAATTTGAGCAACTTCTTTAGCATTTCTTCTACGATGGTCAACTTTTCGTCCATTTTTTCATGGATGGATGCAAATTGATTTCCAATTCTGAAATCTTTTCCACAAAATCTTGTTTCAATTGGCATGTTTCCTCTTCCAACACTTTCACTTTCCTTTGACCATTGGTTGATGGGCTTTGATATTAATTTGTTAGGAAGTAATAATGTAAAATAGAAAAATATCCCACTGAAAATAAAAATTATGCAACTCACCAAGCAGATTTTGAGAAGGTAGTAGAGGAATAACAGAAAAAAACACTCTTAATTGGATAGTTGATGAAAGAAAACAAGCAACGTACAATAGATCTTCAATTTTAGAGGAATATCCGGCTCTCTCATTCCCTAGCCGACGACTAGAGCCCAAGCAAACTAAGGGAGATATCAAATTTAAGTCAAATTCAAGATGCCCTAACCTTAGGAAAACATACTACTTAATGCATACAATCCAAAGGGATACTAAATAGCTCGTACTTTGAATTTCCCCCCCTAAATCCCTCCAAAAATCTTCCTAATGGGTGCTGCTGGGCCCCACGGTTTGGGCAGCAACAGGAGGGGGTGGAACTTTGTTCAGCCTCGTGTAGGCTGGTTTATTATGGACCGCCTAGACCGGTCTAATAGACATATATCATCCAATCGAGTGATTTTATTGTCAAATGACACTACTAAAAAATGGCTATGATCATAGCCCCTGACCAAATGATTTTTCTATAAAATGAAATTCTTAAATTACTGTTAATTTTTGAGCCCATATGTTCTCATTGGCTTAAAAATACTAGCGTGATGAATCATAAGGTGTATTTGATATGGCACAAATCTCAATGTTAGTCAAGGTCTACTTAAAATTATCCTTTTAGGAAAACATTCTGATGAGGACATCGACAGATGCTACCGACATGTTTATCGACAAAGGAATCATAAATCTATGGCCACGATTCAGTGCCTCTACTTTTGATTCAGTTATCATGATATGTTATTTAGTTATTTGTCGTTTTTCGTTTTTACCCCTTTAGGGAGTTGTTTTATTATTGTAGCCCAGAGAGCAATTTCGTACTTTTTTCTTTTCATGAGTGGAGACCTATATATAGTGGGCTCATATGTTGTAATTTCTTTGATGAATGTTTAATGAAATTTCTTGTATTTCTTCTTCTTGTGTGATCACTAGAGAGAAGGGAGAGAGATCGAGCTGAGCAAGTGCAAGGCCCACCAATCATTGGAAGAGTCCACGGCTCGTGGTAATTTTTCTTTTCTATTTTATTTGTGTTTCCCTCATCCTCCTTCCCCTCTCCACTCGCCGTCCCCTTCCAAGTCCACCTCCACCGGTGGCTTAACCGCTCCTACCCACTTCATAGCTCCACCACCTCAAGTCCAACCACCATCCAAGCCCACCTCAACCCAACGACTAATCCCCCACCTCCCCTTTGACCGCCGGCCACATACTCATTATCCAAGTCATGATGATGATTTCAATCATCATAATGACTCCCTAATTTAGATCTAACACTAAAGGAAGAAATTTGTGAATTTCGAAATTCAAAACTTTCCTTATTTGCGAAATCTAAATAAGGAAAGTTTCCAAATTTTGAATCCATTCGAAATTTAATTTTGGAGGATTCATTATTTTCCAGCCTAGTTTTCATATCTTGTTTGGAAAGAGTCTAAATCCCCCTAATCCCTTTCCCCTCTCTCTCTCCATGCCGCCAACCTCATGTTTGGCTTCCCCCCATTAAATCTCAATCAATGCCTTAATTACAATTAATTTGAAATCAAATTTCAAATTAGTTTCCCTCCAAATTCACTCAAATCCTGAAATTAATTTCAAGTTTGGAATAAAACCTCTCTCCCTCTCCCTCCATGCCGCCGGCCTCATGCTTGGGCCCCTTCCCTTTAATCCTCAATCAATGCCTTAATCACCATTAATTTGAAATCAAATTTCAAATTAGTTTTCCCCCCAAATTTACTAAAATTCTGAAATTAATTTCAGGTTTGAAATAAAACCTCTCTGCCTCTATCGGATCTAACCTAATTCTCCCACCCAAGCCTCCCTCTCATCTCCACCTTTAGTCGCCCCTTCTCTTTGTGTTATCTCCTCCTCATGCTTATGGTGCGATCCTGAAGTCGACCACGGATTCATTTTCGACGATCAAGGGAGAACGGACATACTTGGATCTCCGTTCTTTGACGTCTTCTTTGGCAACGATGAAACGGTTGAAGGCTACATCGACCGCATCTTATTCTAACTGACCTTGTCCATTGAAGAGCATCTTCCACCGGGCCGTTGGGTGATCTTCAGCCATCCACCGCCTCCACCACTGGTTACCGCTCCGTCAACGAAGGTCATCGGCGCCGTCTTCCTAGTGGTAATATCCTTCTTCATTGGACTAGTCTTCCTCCGCTAAACCCAAAGAGTGCATGAGTGAGGCGGTACTCAAGGTGAACCTCTCTTTGTTAAAAGATGGATTTTGTTACGAGCATGTAATATTTGTTATTTATCAAGAATTTTGATTGAATTGTACGGTTAGCATCAAAAGCACTTCTTTGGCCTAAGCAAGTTGATTTCTTTAAATTCTTAATTCTCTTTTATATTCAAGTAATAAATTGTCGTGAGCAAGGCTTTATTCAATTGTTTCTTTTAATTTCCAAGGTAACTCCAGTAGTTTCACATCACATTCACCTCCATTGGATGATGCAATCTATGGTTACTAACAAGGATCGTTTGGTTATGTTGGGTTGACTATCTCCACTGACTAAGTAGACTAGGGGTTATAAGAACCTGTGATGATAAAATCATAGGATTTTGATTAGGTTCGCCATTATTCCCCTATCATCCGCTTGAAGCCAAAGGTAACAAATCTTTCTCTGTCCTAAAACTAGAAACTAGTGTTATTAGCTAAACATTAAGTGCCTAACGACTAGTCTTCATTAAAAGTTCTCTCTAGAAGATAATATTTTTGTCTTAGATCATTTAGTTCCCAACAATTTTTGTCATAGATCCAACATTTGGGATCTTCCAAAGGCTCTTTTATAAACCTTTGTTGAAATTCAGACTTCTTATCTTTGTTTCCTCTTCAAAATCAGTCGTGTAGTCTAGGAACCCCAACTAAATATACCCAATTTTCATCGAATTGGAAAGCTTCAAAATATTAACCTTGCAAAACATTTTGAATGAAAATAATTATCTCAAATGATCAAAAATCATGAAATATTTCTAGAAGGGAGAGGGAAGGTAATTGACCTAAAAGATCTCAAATCTAACACATGGGATGAGAACAACTCCATGATCATGCCATAATTACGAAATTATATGCAACAAACAATTGGCGGAAAGTTCTCTCTCATGATTGACGAAGAGTTAATTAACTAAAGGGCTTGCATCTATTGTAAACCTCAAACCAAATCATAAAGTCCTATTAGAGGGTAAAATCTTTGAGTATTTTCTTATCTAAAAATTCAATATATTTTCTAGAAAAATGATTCTAAACTTTTTTAATATAAGAATAGAGTCGAATAATTTTTACATTTAATTTTATGCATGAATAGGCTCAATTTTGTCATCTTTTGTGTTTCATGTGGACAATTTTTTTTTAATCCAAACCTTCTAGAATTGTAGTAGCCGACCCCACGTAGTGAGGTAAGAACTTGATGTTGTTGTCTTCTAGAATTGCAGGAATCGGACAGTGGCAGATAATGATGGAAACATAAGTGTCAGCATTTAACAGTATCTAAAACCACATGATAGAAGCATTAAATAACATTAATACCAATGGGTTCCATAATAGGCAATTCTTTAGATAAAGTGCTTGGCTCCGCAGGTTCTGAGCTGAGAATTTCAGTAGCCTTAGGGTCAATATCAGAATCATGAGTAGTCTCAGAAAATTTAGCTCCACCCTAGAAAAAATTCCAATGCAACAGTAAGATGCAACTCCAGTTACTATGGCGATGCGCAATAATACTGAAAACAAGAAAAAATAATATGAACAGCTGCCAAAAGAATATTACACAAACTGTCTGTTAATCTTGAGAATATGTGAAAGAATATATGAATATATAGTGAAGGAAATAAATTTAAAAGTTACAAGATAATCAATAAACTCTACTAATACTTGAAGTAACCAAGGCACAGGCATTTCTCAAGGAGTGGTCTAAGATTCCATAAGAACGAAACATTGTTAACAGAAATAAGGATAAATAAGATGGAAATAGCAACTAACTTTTCTACAAATAATTATAACAAAGCCATTTTCTTTCAATGCTTTTAAAATTTGATATATCATGGATACTATAAAAATATTCTAAGATAGATAACTATTACTTTTCAATACGATGCTATTGTTATTTAAGAAAATATTAATTTTAATCTTCATAAATGAGTGGCTTTTCTTGACAACATTCCTACAATAATGTTCCAGTCAAAAGTCTTGGTTTGGTATGGTTGTGTTGATGCCTGTTCTAGTTGTACTGCATGAAACAAAGCATCACACTCTTTACAGAATTACGAGCTACTCTATAAATCAGTAATATTGCTCATTAATAATGTTATAGAAAAGGTGCACAGATATAATTGGAATTTCGCAAACACATTTCACAAATTAATTAAAGCTTCTTTTCAAATAATAAATAAAGAGAAAAGTTGTACCGAATGAAGCCTAAGCTTTGAATATAAACATATAACATTTTCATTGTAAATTATACCAGATATGGTTCCATTAAGGCCAAATAGATACCAATCAATATTTTCTCAACATGTATTCTTAGGATATAAATGTTGCTCAACAAGCATTCCGTTCTGACACAAAAGCATGACATTATAACATTATAACATTATAACATTTATGATAAGCCAGGATGAGACTTAAGCTTAAGTAAGAGCTTCAAGCGGACCGACAACACATTTATTTTTGAAATTGAAACACGTAAGCTGCATTTTCCTTTTCAATTTCCACTTACCACTATAGCACCAACCAATATCGGACAACTTATTCCATCCCCCTTTCTAGAAAACCCTTCTACTGCCACACAGAATGAAAATAAAATAGGGCAGAACAAAACAAAAAAAAAGCACACAAGCACAGAAAAGGGAAAAATTAGATAAGTGGCCATACAAGAACAAAGTTCCTGACAAAATTTTTCAGAACACTCACACCTTTGATCACTCCATTTATACCATTAATCTTCTTCAGAAATTGTACTAACTCTGCCATCAATAGCCAGCCACAGTTTTTGCACTAGTTGAATAGTTTCCAAGGCATTGAATTGATTGTAGCTACCGCACGTGATTGGTAATGTAACTCTTTTTCAATGCAATATTACATTTCTTAGCAGCATTCCCTCATTTCAATTTCCATCTTAACATTTTACTACTTTCCCAATAACAGCAAACACAGACTCAAAGGTCAGATATAAAAACTTCATTAACAATAAAAGTAGGATACTTTTATTTCTGCAGGCTCCAAAAGTATATGCTTCTTCCAGGATTTATGTTGATTCACATTAACCATGAAACATAAAATAACAATCTAGTAAAATATTCTGCCTGATATTGAAAATTATAGATCACTTCAAAACCAAAATATTCCGTGTCAGCAGTGATAAAATCTCTCCAGAATTAACTATTTTCCATTAAAAAGAGAATGAAAATACAACACAAGAAATGGGAAGGCAAAGACAACTATATACCATGTCAGTGGTGAATTGGTGATCTAATGATCACTCAATAATTAAATGTTTTCCATTAAAAAGAAAATGGTGATGGGACACAGGAGATAAGTCACAACTTATGGAAGCTATCTACAATCGCAGGATATTGTGGGGTAATTACTTAGGGAGAATTTCACATATGTATAAATTATTAGCTAGAATACCTCAATGTACCACAACACAACATAAACAAACAAGTTCAAAACTTAATAAAATGAAAGCCATCCTAATAAACTTTCAGTATTAAATCAGATGAAGAATTCGTGGAAGCTCAACTTAGAACGTACATTTTTTTCTCTCAGTAGCTCTGCATTTATAGCCTTATCCAAAAGATGATATCTTTTTCGTATGAAGTCCACAATCCTTCTTTGTACTTCCCTAAATTGATAAAGCATAGAATAATCCAGATTTGATTGGTTTGCCTTGGGAGCTTCTGAAGAACCCTGCATAACAATAGGTGAATCAAAAAAATTATGTAGCGAGCAACAATATAGCCAGTTCAACATTTGTACCACATACATTTACCGAGTTTCCTGTCTTTGAACTGTCAATTACTTGGTTACCCGCACCAGTAAAAGGTCCATTAATCACAGGAAGGTTCAACTCTTGACGAACAATCTCCGCAAGCCCAAAATCTTTATCCTCAACAATATATTGCCATCTAGCGTAGCCATGCCTGAAATTCAACAGACATGACATATGAAAAATACAAATTCATCAAGGAATGTAAACATAACTGCAATCTAGGAACAAACAAGAAACATAATCTAATGCACAAACCACTTTACATAAATATTAGGAATCCATAAAGTTACCATTGCTGGGCACAAGTAGAAGCAGCAAAACATGAGTGCCAATCCACAATGGCGATGGCATATACCATAAGTATTCCATAACATAGAATTCAAATATCATGTCTTTGCACTAGCTAGACATGAGAATTTAAAAAATGTATGTTTGCAAAAGTGGTAAATAATAATTTTTGGGTTTGAAAAATCCCCACCCAACTTTGCTACTATTTGAGTGATTAAGAGATGACCTTTTAGAAGGCATATTTGATATTAGATAAGAGGCTCCCTCTTGAGATGATATTACAATCAAATTCAAGGTTTGACAAAGTTGCAAGCCCCTATCAAGCACTCTCTCAATCATTATATAGAACTTCCAATTATGTGGCTCCATGATGTTTTTCTTTAGTAGCAACAATTTAGGTTACAAAATGGAAGATATACTTCTATAGGCTCAAAAAGAAAGGTCTAGAATGAAGACAAACATGATCAATATCTCATGGTTCAACTATCCCAAGTTGTCATAGATTACCTAGTTAGCTAAAATAACTAACTAAACCTGACTTGATAATTCTTGTCGACAACCATTAGTTGTATCATCAAAAGATATCTCATAAACTTACAGTAAAAGCTTGCTAGAGGGGCCAATTTTAAGGATGGCCTTAGCTAACATACGGCTAATGCTCCATCGAGTGAGCTTTATAACTCAACTAATAGACATAGCCACTGGGGAAATTCGATCTTAGGTCATCACCATAATGTAATGATGCTTTATTTAGCAAGCTAACACTTGATCAGGGGCTTATGATTACAGTAGATATGACATTGGCTTTTTATGAGCTTTGATTAAACCATGATTGATCATCCATGGAAAATTGCTATAAAGGATGCATGAGTTATTGCTCTGGGCATGAAGTGATCAGTTATTGCTTGAGCATTTTGGCTTTTATATATTTTTTCTTTTATTTTTTAATCTATATAAAGCACTAGAATTATATGAAAATTTCCATCAATTTTAATTATAATGATTGTGCCCATTGATAATAGAACCTTAAATATATATTCTTGAAATTTAAGAGAGTAATTTTAGGGTGAGCATCCCTCTTGATTATAATTGCCAATTATACTTATTATAGGAGTAAGATACTTTGATTGTCTTAAGTAGATTTATCTTTGAAAACTAGAATAAATTGATATTGGTATGCCATCTAATTGTGATTTTAAGAGTTGCGTCCATTATAGGGTACAAAGTCCGAAGTGTTTGTTTTTGTGATCGGGTGCTTGATTTTAGCAATGAGCCCCTACAATTATGATATTCTGATGATGAACCCATCCTTGGTACATAGCTCAAAGTATTTGTCTTTATAATTGAGATTTGGGAGCATGATATTAAGTGAAGACCCCTCTAGTTATTACACGTAAAAACTAATTCAATCATCAAAGCATGGACTCTTCAATTTCTTGCTTGATTTACATTGAGGTGCTTTAGTAGAGATTACACAAACCCTCATGATAATTTTTTAATTCTTTAACCCATTATCAAAATATGAATCACATAATTAAAGTTGAGACGTTATGAGGTTGAATTGTTGATTCAATTATAAACCTCTTGAACCATTAGGAAGTCTTGTTTAATTTGTATTGTTGATGTTAGTTGAACTAGGGTTTGGAAAAAAAAGAAGACATCAAGCATGATCATATGAGAAAGTACCCAATATGGCCATCTTTTGGGCTTTGGCGAAGAAGATAGTCAATAACTATGTAACCAACCATCCCTATCCCATTCAACCCCAAGCTTGTGAAATGGGCAGTCTTTTAAATTTTTTGCATGGCTTATTGAGGCTTTGCAGGCTTTGGAAAATTTCTTTTCATGTTGTCAAAGCTATTTTATCAATTGAAGAGACTGGACCCTATGGGAGATCTTCCATTATCTTATTTTATTTTTTTGACAAATAAACGTTTCTTTTGTTCATGTGAACTTTGCCAATCATGTACAGAGGATTGGGCATTATGAATTTCTCTACTTAGGTAAAGCATTTGACATTTAACATTATGTGGCATTATAATATAGACAAACAAAAATCAAACAAGTACAAAAACAAAACCTTGAAAGCTTCCTCTAAAAACAAATTGATTCTAAGACACTTGATTAAGTTGATGAAATCAGCATTATTTTAATGTATGAAAACAAGAGCTATCGGAATCTTTGTAATGGGTTGTCATTTCTGATAATTATGAATTTTTTCAAGTGCTTAAAATCAAAAGAATGATGATAGTTCCACTTATCATTAGGACTAAAATAGAATAAGCTAAAGGACAAAACATGATGTTCGAAACTAATAAAATAATACCATGAAAAATAAAGACAATTCATGCCTTTGCCTTCGTCAATTTTTGGGAAAGCCTGGTCCAAAGTAAACTCATTTGAATTGCATGATGAGCATCCTTAAAACTTAAATTGTAATGAAAAGAAGTCTTCAACTCTTTTGCTCTCCTTTTTTAGAAAGCAGAATATAATAACTAGATAATAATAGGAGTACAACAAGGCAATTACAAAGAATTGCTAGAAAAATAATAATAATAATAATAATAATAATAATAATAATAATAATAATATCATAGAAAAAGACAAAATATTCATCAAGATTGTCTGGCTTAAAGCCTAGTGATAAATGAGTACTAACATTTTTTTTTTAATTCTTGCCCCTTCTTGCATAAAGAATATGAAATATTTTATCTATAAGAGAGTTGACACTTTGAATGCTCTAATTAGAATAAAACATATGTTAATAAATAATTGCCATTGTGTTCACAAGTTGGAAGCTGAAGTGTTTTAAGAATGAGCGAGAAAATGGGCGCAAGGACAAAAATATACAATACAACTGAACGAGACATGATAGCATGAGACGTCCAAGTGAAAGGTAGATGCATGCAGGAGACGAACCTGTATGACGAAACACAGGAGACGGATATGCTCGAGAGACGGACAACACTCACTCTTCTGTTATGTTTCTATTATACACATGCAGACATTAGGAAATGACTAAGAAAGACAGAATTACCCGCACATGGTACATGAGCATCATTAAATAGTGTAAACTAAATAAACTAAAGCTTTTATTATGGTAAATTGTGTTTGCTCAAAAAAATGGCACTTCGGCATGAATACAACTTTGTAGTCTTAGGATTCCATTCTCTTTAAGGAAGATTATATTTAACCAGATTTTTTTTTAGGATAGTATCAGAGTTTAGTTAAATATGAATCTTTAATTCCTATGAGCGCAAGCCCTCATAGTCAATTACCCCTCTTATTGCGTAAGAGAGAACTCTCGATTAAGGATAAATAATTTTAGGCATTTTAGTCTCATTTATGGGGGATGAAGGCAAACACGATCAAGATCACATGGTTTCGTCGTCCTGGGAATACTATAAATTTCAGCCTACCAACACTAGTGATTGTTGATCGTAGTGTCTAAGTAATCCGATTAGCAGCTATGGGTTGCCCACTCTCAAAGATTCCGAGTAGATTGAGGTGTGGGTTATAGTTTTATAGTGGTTTGAGATTTACATATATTAGAATATCCAAAAGTTAATTTAGTTTGAGATTTATGACTTCATTTAGAAGTTACTCGATTATTAGAATTGGTTTAGGTCTTATGGCTTCCGTTGGAAGTAGCCCGGTTGTTTGTTTAAGAAGTGGGTCTTACTACTTCTATTAAAAGTACCCGTTTAGTTTGTTTAAGGAGTAGGTCTTACTGTTTCTATTAGGACGTTTGTTTAAAAAAGGTAGGTCTTACTGCTTCCCTTTAAAAGTTACTTGATTATTTGATCTTTAGAGTTACATACTTTGCTTAGTAGTTTATCTAATAGCTTGGTTAAAAGCAGATCTTACTGCTTCGCTTGGAAGTAGCCTGATTGTTTTAAAAAAGTGCGCCTTACTGCTTTCATTTAAAAGTAGCCCATTAATTTTAACTTCAAGATAGGCCTTACTACTCTTATTTAAGAGTTGCCTGTTAGGTGGGTCTTAAAATATAGTTTTATAAATAAGGTGTCCCATTAATTTTAATTTAAATTTTTGACAGGTCTTACAGCTTTGCTCACAAGTTGCCTGTAGTTTTAGTTTTGGATGGGACTTACTACACTATTTAAGAGTTGCCTATTTGTTTGATCGAGAGTTTAATACTTCTCTTAGAAATCTCTCGAATAGCAGATCTTACAGCTTCCCTTGAAAGATGCCTATAGATTTAGTTTTGAGGTGGGCCTTACAACTTCATTTAGAAGTTGCATGTTAGGTGGGTCTTACAACCTAGCCCTATAAGCGAGGCGACCTAATTTGTTTTGGTTGAGGGTTTGATACTTCTTTTAAAAGTTCTCCAAAGAATAAGTCTTAAGACTTACATTGGAAGTTGCTTGGTTATTTAGGTAGGTCTTATGATTTTTGCATTTAGAAGTGACCTATTGGTGAGTCTTACAACCTAACCCTATAAGTGAGGTGGCCTGTGAGTTTTGTTCAATGCAAGGCTTACTGCTTCCCTTAGAAATTATCATTTTTTTTTTTCGGAAAGGTCTTACGACTTCCCTTACGTTGCCTGTTAATTTTTTGGGACTTACTGGTTCCCTTTGGAAGGAGCTTGTTTATTGTTTAGGGTAGATTAAACATTAGGTACTTTAGTTTGCATTTCTTTACTATCGCTACAACAATGTTTTTGGTTTAAATATTTCTTTTTTTCGTTATAGCAGTGTTTTTACTTTCAGTTTAGCACTGTAGCTTTTGTTACAATGCTTGTTTGTTCTTTCTCGTATTACAGTTTTGTTTAAAGTACTTGTTTTCTTTCTTTCTTGCACTGCAGTTTTGTTAATAATACTAATTAGTTTTATTTCTTGTTTT